CTGGTCAATTCGTGCTGTGCTCTCGTATTCCGCTGAATTTATACCTTTTTACTTTGATCTCTATTTCGAATAATCTTGAGCTCAACGTTAGTTCTGGATGACTAATTTTCATTTTAGGACACTTTGTAGATATGAGGTCAACAATTGTGTGGCCTTTTTTCCTTTCTACTTTATCTGTATAATATTTGTTCAAGTGGATTTAATGAAGCTTACTCCTCTTCCTTACAGGTTTCAGATGCCGTTCACTGGGCTTCTAGGTCCTGACTTTCATTTAGCTTCCCATTCCACTCCGCTTGTCAGTTATTCCCTGCTACACATAAAAATGACTGTCTGGCCGCTTATGAGCCTTTAATTCTGTTTCCCGTTTACGTCATATTCGAGGATTAAAAGGTCAGTTATTCTCATGACCTGGCACCTTCTCCCTAGGCTTTACACCCATCGTCCATTTATCCTCTTCCTCATCCCCACCTCATTCCCTTTCATTCTTTGGCCTCTGTGCCTGACTTGATTCGGAATGGCTGGTGTTAAAATAGATCGCTTTTATTCCCCATTCCTGAATCACATTCCTAAGGTTGGTCGATGACTATTCTTTTCAGGCATGCCATCAACCATCTCTGACTACAGACACATCGCATGCGCACATACATATACATACACTTAAGCCATATACTGAAGGCCAACTAAATTTGTGCCCATTTCGGTTTTAACGCCCAAGTCGATTTAAAGTAGATCTAGATCCCTAACCTAGCACTTGTAACTACCTACAATTCCATATTCCACAGCTTGTACACCTACACGACTTCTCAGATTCAGTGATCTGCATCACTTCATAGAGTATCTTCTTGCCGATTTATCCAAGAGTATTCCTGAATGGCTCCTCTACATGATCATCTTATTATTTGGATATGATATGAGAAAGCTTCAACTTTTTCTTTATGAGTTACTAAGAAGCTTACGTTAAAATCTCCTTCATCGCTTTCTAAGCTCTTTTTTACAGCAATATGAGAGCTTGGCCATGATTATTGTTGAATCTACTGGGACCTCGGTATGCAGCGATCTTTTTGAAATTAACTTGCGACTAGCGACTTACGAACACTCTCTCTGGTCGACGGATAATAATGTTTTTTACTAATTTTCCTTACCATCGAAGGTATGAAGACCAAGATTTTGTAGCCTTTTGTATAGTCGTTTTTTATTAAAATTTTACTGGGGACACGTTTTTTTTGTACATATATCCAAATGCCCTTGTTTTTATCCATCTGGCTTGCTCTCCACTCTTGCTGCTATAAAAAGCGTCATCTGCAGAGCCTAGTCCCTTATACCAACAACATTTGGCATGATTGTTTTTAGATTCTTGGATAAGTTATTATCCATTTTATGCTTCTTAGGGTTGTATTTGTATTGGTGGTGAAAGGTTATTAATCCGAGAATACTCCTCTGATTATACCATTGGATGACTGCAACTTTTAAGGCTTATATTTGTTCTTATCATGGTTTTGATCCATACATTTTGATTCATCTAGCTTGCTCCTCACTCTTTTCATTCTATAGAACAACATAAACTAAGCTAAATCCCCTATTTTCTGTATAAATGCATTTCGACGCAGTGATTTTTGCTAAATTACTTAGTCATCCCATATAATTATGTTATTTAAGAACTGTTTATTGATTTATCCAACAATGAGATTGGTAGGCCTAAGAATGCAATTGAGTTTAAATAATTCTTCGAAGATACGAAGACCAAGATGGTGTTGCCTTTTGTACGGTCGCAATCTTCTTTCGTTATAGAGAAGTTGTTTGACCTTGTTTTCGCAACTTGGTCATATTGGTAGGAAGACTTAGAGGAAATGATGATGCATACAATGGACTCCGAACGAGGTGCGTTCCTGTAAGTCTTCCCACCAATATGACCAAGTTGCGAAAACAGGGTAAAACAACCTCTATACGACGAAAGGAGACTGCGACCCCACAAAAGGCCACAGCATCTTGGTCTTCATACCTTTGATTAAATAAACTGAGTTTACCCTGTAATTTGTACCTTTATCTTTTTTATGAATAGTCTTTGAAAAACGAAATCCTACGGCATATTCTTCAATGCTTATTATCTTTTTATTCTGTCTGCAAACATTTGAAAAGGTATCAATTCAATGATACCGTGCTGGTAATGTAAATTACAATCAATCGTGACATAATAGATGTTATCTTTTAAATTTCTCCCTGAAAGCATAACTAAACTATAAAAATAGTTTTCAATCACTCTTTTTATCAAAAGGAGGCTGCGACCAAATCACATCATCTTAGCATTCTTTGGATGTATCGCACCTTTAACGTATTGATAAAGCTTGGGTTGCTTAATAATTTTATGTTATTTGAGCTATTCACCTCGTATGGAGAGTTTGATAAAGAGATACATAAATTGATCTTAATGTGAACCGAAGGATGCTTGCCTTCAATTTTCCACTATTTGTCTAAGTAAAGGAGGTCCTTGCCTTCTTCATAGATTTCTGGCATAAAGATTTATATAAATGTATGAATCAACTAAATTGATGCTCCGAAAATTCTCCAATATTCTGTAGATCCTGACATCTGTTATTCAGATCCAAAATATTGCTTCCAAGTTTCAGAATTACCTTAATTGCATCTGGTTCACTCTAATTTAGTTAGCTAAGTTTTATCCACGGCTCCTATTTAGTTTCATACTAATATTTCTGAGGATATTATTAATAACCTACACCACTTAGGTCAAATACTTTCATAAGGACATCCCTTAAGAATGAATAAAGGTCAGGCGACTTCAAAAAATGATACACACATCGAGTGGGCTCTGCGATTGCTTATAGATGTAAAATAACATGTGAACTTCGCTAAGGTCTCACTTTTTACCGCGCAGGGTATGTCTTAGAGACTAATGAGCTGGATATCGGTTATTCATTATCATCCAATAATCCACATCTATACTTTTTATCATAATAGTCTTCCGTGTCGTTTCTTATGCTGTTCTGATTCGTACCTTGCCCTGAACTATCTGTTTTTTATTCTACCTTTAAATCAACACCTTTTATTGATTCTCCTGTCCCTCTGTCCATTCACCAGGTTCAGCAAGGAGAATATGCGAGAAAAATTAATTTGTTTTTGCATTTGCTCTTTTTTTCATCCTTTTTTCATTCGCTCCTTTGTTTCTCCTCTCTTTATCTATTTCTATTATTCAGTCTATATATATGCAGGCTTTTTTCTACTCACTGCAATTCTTTCTTATTTATCTTTCTTTTATTATTTGGAAAAGAAGGCTTCGCATTTCTTTATTCTCTTTTCTCCATCAGGACTTTTCTCACCTGCCCGGCGAACTGTCTAGTAGGCCTGGCGACTGTGATATCACTTGCACCGACGAACGCCGCGAGATGGGCATCGATGAGATGGCCGCTGCATTAGAGCGTGAAGCGATTTTTCATGATCTTATGGGCACATCGCCGTCTTCTGTCGACGTGGCTGCTGAAGACGCCTCCATGTCATCAATGCTACAGGCTGCCTCATTATCTGAGCGGAGAGAAGTAAATGACTGATATTTGGCTGTGAAATGCTCGTAATTATAGTAGTAGTGCTGGATTTGTGGCTCTGATGCCAACAACAATTCGTCTTTCCAACTTATCTTTGCCATCAGTACCCTATTAAATGCAATATTCTTTATAGTGTTCCTATAAGGGCCTAATAATGATTCTTTAATCTTTTATTTACTTTATCTCTATAGAAGAAAATTAAATTTTCTAAGGAGATTTGGATGCGAGGGACCAACTAGTTGGTCTCACAAACCCTAAGGACAATTACTTCAAAGCTAGGATTCTTTATTTAACCATAGTCCTTCTTGGCGCAACTTTCTCCAGCCTCATCGAATCTCTTCTGATC